AGCCATCATTGTCTCTTTAGGAAATTTCTCTTTAGAAAATGGTTTCCCAGCATACTGGGAGTTTTAATTTAAATTAGCCTCTTAATAAATTCAGACTGTATAACTTGTTTAAATTGTGGATTTTTTTCACAAATCAAATAAGTAGCAAAATGAAATGTTGCTATCATGACATAGCAGTGAAATCATAGTCCCAAAAACTTTGGTCCAGGCTTTTACTGCTTTGAGGGTTTATGCATGCGAGCGTTTATAATGTTTCTTTTTGCTGACTGCGCTGGATCTTCGTGGCTGCATGCAGGCGTTCTCTAGTTGCGGCGAGTGGAGGGTTGCCCTCTCCTTACGGTGCGAGGGCGTCTCTCTCACTTAGAAAGGACCCTGTGGGTCATGGGCTCTAGGGCGCACGGGCGTCAGTAGTTGCAGCGCGTGGGCTCAGTTGTGGCGTATGAGCTTAGTTGCCCTGTGGCACGGAGAATCTTCCCAGAATAGGGGTTGAACCCGTGTCCCCTGCGTTGGCAGGTGGGTCTTTAACCACTGTACCGCCAGGGAGGTCCAGGTTTCCTTTCTTGGAAGTAAAAGCCGTTATTCAGAGATTATGATTTTCCAGCTTGAGTTTTTAAACACCTTTTTATGAAACTGTGATGATATTAGGTGGTAGGACTTGTGTGTATGTATGTAGTTTTTTTGTTTTTGCCTTTTGGAATTTTTTTTGCCTTACTTGGGAAAATAAAAATTTTTGACCCTAGATCAGTCCAAAAAAACTTGCTGATCTGTGAAATTCAGAGGTCTGAGAACCGCTGCAGTAGAAGCTTTCCCCAAAAGGCCAAGAGAATGTTGGCATGCAGTGGATTTTCCTTACTCCTCCCTTGTTGTCAGAGTGAGGGTATATAACGGCAGAAAAAATCAGAACATTTAAAATATAGTAATGATTTTTTAGGAACTGTACATTTTATCTTTTAATTTTTTTTTTTTTTTTTTTTTAATTTCTTTGGAAGCAGCAAGCAACTTGTAAGATTTTAGTTCCCCAGCCAGGGATGGAACCCATGCCTTCTTCAGTGAAAGTGCAGAGTCTTAACCACTGGGCAACCAGGGAAGTCCTTATGCCCCATTTTTACTCTAGTTTCTTTTAACCATCTGAAGTCTGTGATTTTATTAGTTTTATTTAAGTTTTTGGTAGGAAGTTTCTGTTTTTTATCACAATATCTAGAAGTGAACATTTAGGTTTTGTTGTTGACTCTGAAATGAATTCCTGAGACTATGTCTGCTTACTCATTCAGCAGCTTTGCTGAGTGTGTATATGGATACAAGAAATGAATTGTTTCCTGTTGTGCCCTGGGGAAGAGGAGGAGGCAGGCAGACAACAGTGCAGTAACCGCTAGTTTGAAGGTAGGTCTTCAGTGCCGCGGACGCGTGGAGGGAGAGGTGGCGTGCCGTGAGCTTCGCCGCTGGTGCGGCCCACGCTGGGCTAATACAGTTAACTGCTGTTACAGGGTGGCTATCTGCCTCTTCTCCATTGTCTTTCGTAAATAATTATTTTCGAGAGAAAATTTCTAAGCCCAGAAAACTGCACCTTTTAATGCACCTACTCTCTTAACTCTCCTCTGATTCATACTGGACTCCAATGAAAGCCTTTTGTCTCACATCAGTGTTATAGTTAAATTACACAATTAGAATTGTTCTGTACTTTGTATGTTATTACTTAAAATCTAAAAATTCAAGCTCTCACAAAATACAAATTTGGGTATTAAAGTTCTGTTACACTTTTTCAGTTTATACCACATGAAACATTTTGCTGAACCTAGAATATATGGAATTTTCAGAACCTAGAATATCTTCATTGATTGAAACCAGTACATTTTCCTTGGCCATTTATATGCAGTGAAATCTGCCGGCTGCATATGAATACGGGCCGTGGCCCTGAGAGCTGGCGCATTTCTGCTGCTGTTCTCTGATAGTCATGAACCGCTTTCATTTAACGTCAGCCATTGCAAAGAGTGATAAGAAAGTATCCTGATGGGTACTTTGGGGAAACACTTCATTTTTCTATTTCATTAAAAGGACTCTTAAATAACACAGAGAGATGAGTTAACCGTTAAAAAAAGAACCTCACTGTAGCTGATATCTGTTATTAAACTTGGAGTGCTTTCTAGAAACAGCTCTCTGAATTTACTTGTCAAAATAGCTTACAGTTTGCTAATAGCAACCGTAGTTATGCCAAATTCCTCTGTTTCTAGACTTTTTTTTGTCAAAATATAAACTGTCAGGAGTTAAGGAGTCTGCAGATTATGAACTTCTGTTAATGTACATAAGATACTAAGTAGTTTGTACTTGTGATAAAATGCCCATCACGCAAAAAATAGCTTTAGCCCTTTTGTCCTAAAAGTACTTCTGTAAGTGACAAAGAACATTGGTACGGGAAACAGTAACTTGAAAATCTTTCGTCTTTCCACCTTCCCCCATTTCATTCTTTGGGATGACTAACCCTAACCCTATTCTTCAAAGGCTTGCTTCTGTGTAACTTCCTTTTCAAACTAGTTGGAAGCCATCTCTTCCTTCCCTGAGCTGCTAGAACTTCTTGTTTGGTACCACAATCTGTCTTGTGTTTGTATTCTTTGTGTCTTTGACTCTTACTGGGTTAATCTCTTTGAGAGGAATTAGTGGCATATCTTCTTTTTGTGACTCCCGTGGGATCTAAGTCAAAGCTGTGGTTTTTCCAGTAGTCATGTATGGAAATGAGAGTTGGACTATAAAGAAAGCTGAGCACTGAAAAATCGATGCTTTTGAACTGTGGTGTTGGAGAAGACTCTTGAGAGTCCCTTGGACTGCAAGGAGATCCAACCAGTTCATCTTAAAGGAAATCAGTCCTGAATATTCATTGAAAGGACTGATGCTAAAGCTGAAACTCCAATACTTTGGCCACTTGATGCAAAGAACTGACTCTTTGGAAAAGACCCTGATGCTGGGAAAGATTGAAGGCAGGAGGAGAAGGGGGCGTCAGAGGATGAGATGGTTGGATGGCATCGCTGACTCGATGGCCATGAGTTGAGCAAGCTCCGGAAGTTGGTGATGGACGGGGAGGCCTGGCGTGCTGCAGGCCATGGGGTTGCAAAGTCAGATACGACTGAGCGACTGAACTGAACTGAACCCTTTGTCAGTCACATTATTTGCAAATATTTTCTTCTATTCTCTAGGTTGTCTTTTTGTTTCGTTTATGGTTTCCTTTGCTATGCAAAAGTTACTGAATTTATTTAGATCCCACTTATTTACTTTTGTTTTTATTTCCATTACTCTGGGGGATGGCTCGATAAATACCTTGCTGCGATTCATGTCAAAAAGTGGTCTGACTATGTTTTCCTTCTGGTCTTATATTTGTCTTTGATCCATTTTGAGTTTATGTTTCTGTATGGTGTTAAGGAGTGTTATAATCTCATTTTTGTTTTGCATATAGCTGTCCAGTTTTCCCAGCACCACTTTGCCATAGATTAATGGACCAGAGGTGCATAGGTTTATTTCTGAGCTTCCTATCCTGTTCCAATGATCTATATTTCTGTTTTTGTGCCAGGTCCGTGCTGTTTTGATTACTGTAGCTTTGTAGTGTGGAGAGTATTCAGGGAGTCTGATTCTTCCAGCTCTGTTTTTCTTTCTCAAGATGGCTTTGGCTATTCAGGATCTTTTATGTCTATACAAAATTTAAGAATTTTTGTTCTAGTTTTGTGAAAAATGCCCTTGTTGACTTGATAGGGATTGCATCGATCCTGTAGATTGCCTTGGGTAGTATAGTCATTTTGATGTGTAACTGTACTCTTCAGCCTAGGAGTTAGGGCTGGAAATGGAGAGGCCTTCCTCTAGCAAGATAAGCGTGTGGAAAAGAGTTCACTCAAAGCAGAGCAGAGGTGGCTGTCTAGGACCTGTTATTTAACACAGTTTGTAGTACACTCATCACAGTCCTCTGCTTCCAGGGAGTGGGGGGATTGCTGCTGCCCTTCCTCTGCACTGCTCCCCCTCCCGACCGTGAGCATTAGGCTGTTCCCCTGCTTCTCAGTAGCCCCCAGTTGTTCACCACCATCGGTTCATCAGCAGCCACTTGGTTAGGAGGCATTGCAGTATCATGAGCTAATTTGGCAGATGCGTTATGTTAGGAGCAATTTCATGAGTTTTCACTCATGTTTTTCTTGCTGTGATCATTTTTTCCAGTTTTTAAGATATTGTACATAAATTGTTTTTGCCTGGTGTTCAATTTGATATAAACATGGATATGTAGTATGTATTTTTCTGTCTTCTTTTGCTCAGTATTAAGATTTACCCATGTGTGAATCTGTGGTTCCTTCCTTCCTGCTGTTTGAATGTAGCACAGTCTATCTGTTCTCTTGTTGATGGGTATTTATATTGTTTTCAGTTTTTGGCTCCTCGGATCTGTTTCGCTGTTTCCTGTTTTAAATATTGCCTTGTATTTGGTATTACAGCTAGTTAAGCTTGTTATTAGAATATTTACTATCCTCTTAAGTGAACTGTCTTGTGTAAAAGCTCAAAAAAGCACCCTATCATTTCTTATTCCTATATCCTCAGAGTGTTCTTTTTACTCTTTTAGGATTCGCTGTTAGTTTCTTCTTCTGCATTTGAGGTCTTGAATCATATTACTGGCTGAGGGAAGCTAGTTGCCGTTCCCTTTGTTATTGCCGATCACATCCTTGAGTTAGGGGAGTTGTTGAGCTCAAGTCGTTTGGTCTTATGGTTATACCAGAACTTGGCTGACACTCTAGGTTTTCAGTGAAGAGGAAAAAAATTGCTATCAGAAACTTCTAGAGATTTATTAGATATTTGGGATGGGCTTGGTATTTGAGCTGTACCTGACAAATTAAGGTAGCTCACAACTAGTGTGGGAAGGTGCTAAAGGACAGGTTTCAATCTGAGCACCTGAAAGAAATCGTGAACAGCTTGGCTGCGTGTGCCTGAGCTGTTTCAGAACTTCAGACAGAGTACACTGATGTGCTTCTCTCCTGCTGTAGCCGCCGCGTGGAATGTCATGGCCAGCTCCTCCGACAGTGAAGATGACAGTTTCATGGCTGTGGACCAGGAGGAAACCGTGCTGGAAGGGACGATGGAGCCAGATGAGGAGCCCCGCGCGGCGCTGGAGGTTGAGGAGACTCGACACAACAGGTCCATGTCTGAGCTGCCAGAAGAAGTTTTGGAGTATATCCTCTCCTTCCTCTCCCCATACCAGGAGCACAAAACTGCGGCCCTTGTCTGCAAGCAGTGGTACCGGCTTATTAAAGGTACTGTGGGACGCGGGAGGTCTGTTTACTCATTTAAGGTTTCTTTGAATGACTTTTAATCTCTCAGTTTCATTTTCTCTTTTTCTCCCTTACATTTATTGTGGTTCTAAAACTTAGACAGTTAGCTCTGGACATTTTCCTTTTCTCTTTATCCTGCCTAGTTTATGAACAACTTGAATACTGAAGTTTTTAATCCAATTTGCAGTTTTAAAATGAGGATTCTTTTTCTGCATATTCTTGGAGTTGATCTGGTGAATTGTATTATTCTTGAATAGGTAGAGTAGGGATGAATATGGATTGACAGTAAGAGCAAAACCTTCATGTAACTCTTATCATTGTCAGGACTATTGTAACTGCTTTACAGTCCTCATAGCAAACTGTGAATAGCTTAAAGTAGCTGTTTATGGCAGATGTGGAGTTATGAAAGCACTTACTGCTTGATTTTATCTCTATAAACAGCCCAGATCCTATATATGTATTTTACTTTTTAAAATGAATTTCTCCTTTTTTTCCCCCTCCATTTTCTAACCAAGATTTCAGCTTTAACTAAATGTTGAGGTTACTAGTTATACTGTATTTTTTCAAATTTTTTTTATGTGGGCCATTTTTAAAGTCTTTATTGAATTGTTACAATATTGCTTCTGTTTTTGGTTTTTTGGGTTTTGGCCATGAGGTATGTGGGGTCTTAGCCCCCCGGCCAGGGATCAGACCTGCACCCACTATGCTGGAGAGTCAAGTCTTAACCACTGGACCGTCAGGGCAGTCCCCTGTATTTTTAATTAATAACAGTTATTTTATTTCATTCCATTTTAGGTGGAAAGGGCCTTTTTTTTTTTTTTAATGAAGATGACCAAGCCAGTTGAACAATCTTTGATCAAAGCAAGGGTTGTATTGATTTTTTGTTTGCTGGTGTGAGCAAGGCAGCCAGAGATGTGAGAGAGGAAAAATGTTTAGATCAGAATCAGCCTTAAAATCTTTCCTAGACCCAGAGTGGTTCTCTGGGGAGTAGGGTCCTTATCAGTTGTCCAGAGTCCAACCTTGATGGCTAATAAGGACCAGCTGTGTTGAAACTTTCCCCCAGCCCTGCGCGCATCTGCTCACAACTGGTAACATTGGTATGTACAACCTGCTTCTGTTTGCAGAATTAATAGCCTCCGCAGGAGAGACTGGCTCCCTGCACTACGGCGGTAGATAGTTTTACCTCAAAAATAGAGGAAGAAGAATCATACATGAGGGGTGGTGATCTAATCAAAGATATTTATTTATTCTTGGCATTCTTATCATTTCGATCTTTTTTTCTTTTTTTAAGAGAAAAGAACCTTAACCTAGTATTCCCAGTCTTAGATCTTCTGGGAGAAGTCACTGCTAGGACAGTTTTTTCTCCCCTCCATCATTACGTATCTGTCTTTTATTCATTACTGCCTTATCTCAATCCAAGATTTGAAAATTTGCATTACTTTACCAGTGTATAGTTGACAGTATGGTCACACATTAAAAATGGCCGTGTCTTTTTCATATTCCAGTTCTTATCTGTGAGTTCAGCCAAGGGAGAATGATCATCACTGGAAAACATGTTCTCTGATCCTGCTTAAGGATCCTCAAGGTGGCATAAATTCAAGAGTGGTATTCTTTCAAAATGTAAATAATTGATTGTACACTTCATTCAAAATGCTTCTCTTTGAAATAAGAGTAATTTCATGTGTTGGAAAAACAGATTGTTCCAGAAGTATGAAGCTCTCACTTTTTTAAAAATAGACTTCATTTTTTTTAGAGTGGTTTTAGGTTCATGGCAAAATTGCACAGGCCATAGATTTCCTATATACCCTCTGCCCCCAGACACTCACAGCCTCTCCCACTTTCAGCATCCTCACCAGGGTGGTACATTTTACAGTTGATGATCCTGCGTTGATAATATTGATGTATCATTGTCACTCAAAATCTGTGGTTTACTTTAGGGGGTACATTCTGTGAGTTTGGACATGTATATAATGACATGTATCTAGCATTATAGTAAAAACTCTGATTTTTTTTTTTTTTAGACAGCTTTCCTTAGTTATAAATTCAACATTTCATAATCCACTGTCAGCTGATTATTATCTCCTTGTTTAATACGGAGAATTTGTGGTCTAACTATAGATATTTACTGAACAGCTGTTATATTCCAGAGATTGTTTTACCGTATTTTTTCTCGCAAAACTAAATTATCTCCCAAGCCTCTTTGTTTTGGAGTAAACAGCACCAGTTATTTTGATGTGTTTCCTCATGATGTGACGTAAGAGGAGCAGAGTTAAAGTGTGAGCAGATTTTGTCACCTTGAGGGAGTCATTTAACCTTGGTAAAATCTGAAGATTAGATCTTCCAGTTTTGAACTTACGTGATTTTGTTTTCTGTCTTTGAATGAAAAAAAAACAAAGAAATTTGGAGTTCCTCAAAGAAACTTACATCTTATAAAAGTGATGAGACAGTAGATTCAATTTTATAATTTGGTTTACGAGTGAAGAGTCCAGGCTGAGGCGTTCGTTACTTTTGTCTTTAGGTGTAGCCCACCAGTGTTACCATGGTTTCATAAAGGCTGTTCAGGAAGGGAACATCCAGTGGGAGAGTCGGACATACCCTTATCCCGGGACCCCCATCACCCAGCGGTTCTCACACAGTAAGTATTTATCGTGAAAACAGGTCCCATCTTGCCAGCAGTCATGTTTCCAAAAACTGTTTTTGAGGCTTATATTTTGTCTGACATTTTTAGTGAAGAGAATATAAAATGAGGATTCATATTAATTTTGCAGCCAGAATTAGGGAAGAGCATGAGCCTAAATGTTTTGTAGGCACTGTGGTGTAATTTTATGTTTGCTTTTTCGTTGGATTTTTCTAGTATCTGTACTCCAAGGACATCAAGGTGTTGTACTTGGGCTTTTAAACTCTTGACATCAGGTAACAGAAGAGCGAAGGAAAGGTGCTCATGAGGGTGTTTCTGTCATCCTGTTTAGGGAGTAGCCAGTTCACCAAGAACTCTTTATTTTAGCATGGTATGTGTTCAGCAAATACGGAATTTGACTGGGGTCACACACAAATTTTGAACATGAAGGATATTGATTATAAAATACAAATTTAAGTAATAAAATTATAAATAAAATGTTCTGGCAAATAGATATAATTTAGCGTTTTTGACTTATTCTAGAATTAACTCTCCATTTTAGCTGATTTTTATAGATGCCACTTTATGTATTTTTTCCTTTGACTGTGCCCTGGGGACACCATGTGGGATCTTAGTTCCCTGACCAGTGATTGAACCCAGGCCCCAGCAAAGAGAGCACTGAATCCTAACCACTGGACCGCCAGGGACTTGCCAATATCATTTCATTCCAGAGGTGGCTTCTTTACTGCTGAGCCACCAGGGGAAGCCCATTGGTGATTCATATCCATCCATCAAAGTGAGACTGAGATGTGTTGTATTGTAGGCCAGTAAAGGTGTATATATATGAGTGGTTTTACAAAAGTTCATTGAGAAGAGAGGGAAGCCTTTTGGAAAGTTCTTGGAATTATTGCTGTAGTTATATTACTTGCCTGTTCAGAAACCTTGAGTGTCTGTCCAGTGATAAAAGCTAAACTTAGTCATATTTAAAACCCTCTTTAAGCTGACTTACTTCTACATTTACTACTTCGTCTCCTGACTTTTCCCTAGAGCTCCCCTCTTTTTAAGCTGTCACTTTGCTGTACTCAAAACCCTAACCCTGGAGTATTCTCGTCCACTTAGCTGAAGCCTGCTTCTTCTTGAAAGCTCAGTTCAAGTTCTAGCTCTTTGGGGAAAGCTTTTCTCAACTCTCTGGGCCACAGAAAAATTTTTCCTGATCTGAACTTATGTCTGGAATACTGATTTGGCACTTAACTCATATTGTCTTTCACTGTTAACTTTTATATTTGTGTCTCTTTTTTTAAGCTGTATTTTGAAATTTGAGGGGAAGGAGAGTTACTGGTTATCTATGTTACATAAACATTACTTGCAAAGTTACCAACTTAAAACAAGATTTATTATCTCACAGAGTTCCTCAGGGTCAAGAATTTGGGAGTAGCTTAGCTGGCACGTTCTGACTCAGGGTCTCTTGTGAGGTTACAGTCAGCCTGTCAGTCAGGGCTCCCGTCCCCTGCGCGCTCAGCTGAGGCCTGGGGAATCTGTTTCCAAGCTCACTTAGTAGCTGTTGAGAGAAGACTCGGTTCCTTACTGCGTGGGCTCCTCCACAGAGCTGCTCACGGCTTGGCAGCTGGCTTCCCACGGAATGAATGATCCGAGAGAGAAACGGAGATGCTGAGGTGGCAGCCACGGTGTTTCTGCAGCCTGATCTCTGCTGAATGCCGTCCTTTCTGCTCCACCCTGTAGGTCACACGGGGTTGCCCGAGGGTGTAATACCAGGAAGTGAGGATCCCTGGCGGTCTCTTGGAGGTTGACCACCCCAGACGGTACCCCATACTCTCATATCCAGAGGCGTTCAGTGGAAAACGATGGCTCATCATTGTCTTTGAACTGAATCTAAATGGATCAAAGGAATGAGTCGAACTGTTGGCTGTTTCCAGTGCTCTCAGGGAGCTGTTTTTACTCATACTGTTGTAAACCCCCAGGGCAGTAGATCTCAAAAGTGCGATTCTTGGACTTTGTAGGAGGGAGGCGTCTGTAAGACTGTTTGGGGGATCTGTGAGGTCAGAACTGGCTTTCGTTAGTTTTCGTCTGCGAGTGTGTGGTCGTGGCGTCAGTTCCCTTGTCCTGAGCCGTGCACGGGCTGTCGCAGTTTCCCCAGCACTGCTTTGGCACCATTGGTGCAGCTGTCAGCACAGTGAAAAGACAGTGACTACTTCCTCAACTACTGCTACTTATTATGATTATAAAAATAGTTTTGAAAGAGTCTCAAATGTTTTCGGGAGTTCATAGACATATACTTTGCAGTAAAATTTAGACGAACGCTTGCTGAAAATATTTAATGAAATTACGGGAGGATCCATATTAGGTCCAGTATTTATTGTTGAAGGAGGGGTAACTTCAGTTATCTACATATGCTTGGAATGAGGAGCAGAGACAAGATTTCTAAAAACAGGACGTTTCTTAAGATTTTTTTTTTCTTTTCAAGATTTATCTGTTACTGGCTGTGGTGGGTCTTTGCTGCCGCAGGAAGGCTCACTCTAGTGGCGGTGTATGGGCTTCTCGTTGGTGGTGGCTTCTCCCGTTGCACAGAGCGGCTCTGAGTGCCACAGCTCCATAGCTGGGGCTTGAGTGGTCCAGGATGCAGGCTGAGTGGTTGTGGTGCATGGGCTTAGTAGCTCTGAGGCATATGGGATCTTCCCAAACCAGGGATCCAACCGGTGGCCCTTGCTTTGCCAGGTGGCTTCTTAAATATTAGACTACCACGGAAGCCTGAGGATGGTGTTTTAAAACAAATAGTGTTGGAACCCTTTGTTGTTTAATTGATCAGTTGTATCCAACTCTGCCACCCCATGGAATGCAGCACACCAGGCTTCCCTGTCATTCACCATCTCCCAGAACTTGCTCAGACTCATGTCCATTGAATGGGTGATGCCATCCAACCATCTCGTCCTCTGTTGTCCCCTTCTCTTCCTGCCTTCACTCTTTCCCAGCATCAGGGTCTTTTCCAGAGAGTCGGCTCTTCACATCAGGCGGCCAAAGTATTCAACTTCAGCATCAGTCCTTCCAATGAATATGCAGGACTAATTTCCCTTAGGATTGACTGATTTGATCTCCTTGCAGTCCAGGAGACTCTCGAGAGTCTTCTCCAGTACCACAGTTCAAAAGCATCAATCCTTCTGTGCTCAGCTTTCTTTATAGTCCAGTTCTCACATCCATACATAACTACTGGAAAAACCGTAGCTTTGACTATATAGACCTTTGTTGGGAAAGTGATGTTTCTGCTTTTTAATACACTGTCTAGGTTTGTCATAGCTTTTCTTTCAAGGAATAAGCGTCTTTTAATTTCATGGCTGCAATCACCATCTGCAGTGATTTTGGAGCCCAAGAAAATAAAGTCTGTCACTGCTTCAACTTTTTTCACTTCTGTTTGCCATAAAGTGATGGAACCAGATGCCATGATGTTAGTTTTCTGAATGTTGAGTTTCAAGCCAGCTTTTTTACTCTCCACTTTCACCATCATCAAGAAACTCAAGTTTCTCTTTACTTTCTGCCATTTGAGTGGTATCATCTGTATATCTGAGGTTGTTGATATTTCTCCTGGCACTCTTGATTCCAGCTTGTGATTCATCCGCATTTCACATGCGGATGAATGTGAAATGAATGAATGAATGTGAATGAATGAATCCAGCCCAGCATTTCACATGATGTACTCTGCATGTAAGTTAAATGAATGAATGAAATGTGAATGAATGAATCCAGCCCAGCATTTCGTATGATGTACTCTGCATGTAAGTTAAATAATCAGGTTGACAATATACAGCCTTGTTGAACTCCTTTCCAAATTGTGAATGAGTCATCTGTTACATGTCTGATTCTGACTGTTGCTTCTTGACTTGCATAGAGATTTCTCAAGAGAAGTGTAAGGTAGTCTGTCTCTTAATGTTTATTACCATCTGCATTTTACCATAATTATCTATGTAGGAGCGGCTACATGCTAAAGAAAAACTTTTTACTTGGGAAGCAATTTCCTTGGCTCTTCTGATCGACACTTTCCTCATCTGTAAAATGTGTATATGCCCATATGTTTAGGAGTTTTCCACAATTTGTTGTGATCCACAGAGTCAAAGGCTTGTGTAGTCAATGAACCAGAAGTAGTTGTTTTTCTGGAATTCCCTTGCTTTCTCCATGATCCAACGAATGTTGGCAATTTGATCTCTGGATCATCTGCTTTTTCTTTTTTTTAAACTTCTTTATTTGGCTGCACCAGGTCTTAGTTGCAGCACACAGGATCGTTAGTTGCAGTATGTGGGATCTAGTTCCCTGGTCAGGGATTGAACCCTGGCCCCTTGCATTGTGAGCACAGAATGTTAGCCACTGGACCACCAGGGAAGTCCCTCATCTGCTTTTTCTAAACCCAGCTAGCACACCTGGAAGTTCTCAGTTCACATACTGCTGAAGCCTAGCTTGAAGGATTTTGAGCAGAACCTACAATTCAGTTCAGTTCAGTCGCTCAGTCGTGTCCGACTCTTTGAGAACCCATGGAGTACATCATGCCAGGCTTCCTTGTCCATCACCAAATTCAGTAGTTCCCCCCAATCTTCTTCTCTGCTTAGTTTAGTGAATGGCATTATCATTCTCTCCATTATACAGACTTGAAATCTTGGTTTCATGCTCAGTTCCTCTCCCTCCCTCAACAACAAAAGTCAAATCTTGTTGACTCTGTTCTGTCTCTGCAGTCTGTCTCATGTCTTTCCTTTTACTCCCATTACTCACACTTATGACTTAATCATCCCATCTTTCCTAAGTCTCTTCTTCCTCCTTTCCTCCCCCACCTCCCTCCCTCCCACATTGCAGCATCTCACTTCCCCAGCCAGAGATCACACTTGTATCTCCTGCAGGAGAAGTGTGGAGTCTTAACCACAGGATCAAGAGGGAAGTCCCCCTAAATCTTTTCTAAACACTCTTCTTACCTTTTCTCTTCATCTGAACCTGGTCTAGACACTGTTGGTAGCCATCTCTAA